AGGACGAGGTGATAGTGCGTGCTATTCACAGCCCTCCGTCTGGTTGCTGTCTTCTTTTGCACACTTTTTTTTTAGATGCCCTTGTTGCAGGAATGCAAAGCCTGCACGTGATTTATCTTTACATTTGTAACTCTCATGATTTTAAATGCGATTATTGTGATTCGTGCGTGGTTATTTTTGACAACTTTTTAACAATCTTTTTTCCATGTAAACGTTTTCATTCCGTTAGTGGAACTCCATGCTGTTTGTCAGGGTAAATCTCAATGTTTTTTTACGAGACAATCAACACCTTCATCAGCTTTGATCAATGCACTGCTGGATGAAGGTCTCTCCGAGTTTATATACCACACTGATTTATAACGACACCTTGTGTGCTGTACATGTCGTATCAATAATGTGTGAGAGAGATGGCTCCGCGTCTTTAACGGTGGCGCCTTTAACGTTTCAATGCATGTGTGAGGAATGGTGGGAGACGCGCAGAGGGTTTTAAATCAAATAAAAGTTTTATCTTTTTCATTCTCCCCAGTTTTCTTTGTGGGGGGGGGGGGGGGGGGGGGTATCTATCAAAGGATCTCGCTGTGTAATTTGTACGTAATGTTTTGTGCCGTTGCATGACTTATTTGCATCTACATATATAGCATGTATATATCGCACCTCCGATTGGCACGGTTGGCTACGTACGGCGTGAAAGAAGTTCAACATACACATTGTTATTCTTGGTTATTTCGGTAAAGTCACGTAGAAGGGAAACAATAAAATAATAAAAATATAAAACAATAAAATTCTCACGACGTTTCTACTGTAACACAAGCAATCATCATCAGGTGTGAAAACCACATTTGGTGTGGTTTTCACACCTGATGATGATTGCTTGTGTTGCAGTCGAAGAATTTTATTGTTTTAAATTTTTATTATTTTATTGTTCCCTTCTACGTGACTTTACCGAAAGAACCAAGAATATGAATCCCTGCAGTCACGAAAGCTTTAAATCAAAATTTATACAAATTGTTTACTGTGCACGATGGTAACAATTATACCGGGAGTGGCAGCCAAGGAACGGAACAGAATGAGAATGTATTTAATGCATGACGGAGAAATCCGATGAGCCATAAAGCTCCTTGTCACAGATGTCCAGTAGGAACGCCCCCTGCGAGTTTTCAGTCCGTGGAGGAGATGGAGCGATGAAATCGACTGTGCGAGTGCTGGGCGCATTTTTTAATCGCAGGATGACGAGAGGTGTCAGCTCCTGATGACGATCGCTTGTGTTGTGATCGAAACGTCGTAGTTTTTTTTGTTATTTTCTTTCAACCTATTTACGTGACTTTACCGAAAGACCCAAATAAAAATAGAGAGTTCTCTCGAGTGGAGGCGCTTTTGTCAGCGGCGACGTGAGCCGACAATTTCAGGGCTGCCCCCAGTGCCGGATTAAGCAAGTGCAGGGCCTGTAGTGTATGTTATAAAGTGGCCTGAAATATAAAACCACACAAATATTAAAACACACGCATTTTTTTACTTGCATAGTAAAGTAATTCTATTATTTCATTTGCTCCACAGCCAGATAATACGACAAATCGCGAACCTTAAACAAGTTGAAGGCAGTATAGTGCTATAGTAATAGAGCAAGGGGTCGTCCATAAATGACGTCACGCACCTAGGGGGAGGGGGGTGGTCAGATATTTGTGACGATGTGTGACGATGGGGGGGGGGGGGTTGAGAAATGTGACGTCATATCAAAATGCGCAACTTTAAATAAATATAGACAACACGTTCTACTTAATTAAATAGACTTTTTAATAAATGTTTTCTCCTACAACATCAGAGTGCAGTGCCACATTAAATACGCACTACAATGACAATAGTTTAAAGCGATTTGAAGCATGTTTTATTTGGGGGGGGGGGGGGCAGAGCTTTGTGACGTCATATTTGAGGGGGGTCTGACTTAGTGACGCCGTGTGACGAGGGGGGGCGGTCAAAAATCGTCCAAAATCGAGTGACGTCATTTATGGACGGCCCTCAAGTGGAGAATCACTGAACCGGAATTGATAGCTTGAAAGTATTTAGCGCGGGGCCCTTGAAAGTGTGGGGCCCGTAGCATATGTAGCTACTTGTGCTACTACGATAATCCGGCACTGGCTACACCTTTATTGCCCAGACTATTGTGTATCTTGTGTAGGTGCCGCGGTGGCTAGGAGACGTTAACTCCCTCGCCTGGTATGCAGGAGGTTCGTGGGTTCGATCCAGACCCTGACGCCTGCTGTATATTTGGAGTTGTCTTGTCTCTCCACGTGGTCGCGTGGATTTTTTTCTCCGAGTCCTCCGGTTTTTCCCCTCCACATGAGAAAAACATGCGTTTAGAGTATCTGGCTGCTATGAATGTCCACATGATAAGCCACTTCGTTGAGCTATCATTTGTGGCCAGGCCGCTTCTGAAAAAAAGAGCTGTATAGTGGGCCTTAGCTGGTAAAATAAAACGTAGTTTAGTTTTAGTTTAGTAAACAAAGTAGTTGTGATCTTCTTTGGTTCTTTCGGTAAAGTCACGTAGAATGAGAATAAAATAATAAATTGATAAAATAAAATAACACAATGAAATTCTCACGACGTTTCGGCCACAACACAAGCGGCCTTCATCAGGTGAAGGGACGAGACTGTCTGGAGGACAGCGCTGGAGCGAACAAAGCCACGCTCAGATCGCGACCTTTAAGCTGTGTGAGAAGAAACAAAGCGCCTTGACAAATGAATTAGCATAGAATTTTATTGTGTTATTTTATTTTATCAATTTCTTATGTTATTCTCATTCTACGTGACTTTACCGAAAGAACCAAAGAAGATGAATCCTTGCAGTCACGAAAGCTTTAAATCGAAAAGTAGTTGTGACCCAGCGACATCACCAGAGGGCGCTATTGCACATAACTAAGCGGCAGTGGTGACGGCTGTGCCTCATAATAAGAAGTACCTGGGTTCGATTCCTGACAAGGGGACCTTTTCCGTGCGGAGTTTGTTCTCTCCCCCTGTTCCACAGGAGCTTCCTCCGGGTTGTGCAGACGATGCAGGTCTGTTGACCAAGATTCACGCTGCATCCATGGAACTATTGGCTTTCTCGAGCACTGAGGGTGGACACTGGGCTCTTAGTACGTGTTTAGAAATTCCGATCATGGTAATTAGCAATGGGGCACCTGTGATTGAACTCCATGTCACGGTAGGAGGACAGAATGTATAGGTGGTAGGTGAATGTTTACTTAGCCATCGATGCCTCCTTTCCTCGTGATGACTGCCACACTGCAAAGCACTGCACGGCCTCGAGAAGTGGCTGCATAATTGTTCGTACAGTATTAGATTACATTCCAAGAATAGAAAGTATCCAGCGGGTGGTCTCATTGAGGAGACTGAGTGATGAAATCAGTTTGTGTACTGCTGCGAGGTGGATTATTGCATCGCAGGATCATGGGTGGCTGCTGCTGATGATGATGATGATCATGTCTCTCTCACTCTCCATGAGCAATGCCCTTTCTCAAAGACGTCGACCATAATGGCCTTCCCTTCCATTCAGCTCTGTCCATGATATTTACTTCAAAACATTGCTTTAGATGCTCCCAGTTGCATGGCATTGTTCCACTTGCTCATGTAATGTATTTGGTTTTCTTCACCGGCGTATTGTACCTAACACTTTCCACAAACAAAACATTATACAGTATCTCTTGTTTTCTCACTCAATGTCAAATAATTATCTAACTTGCCTTTTTCATTTCCTTGTTGTGTACTCTTAAAAAAAAACCATTGTATGTTGCTTATAGTTTGCTATATTGGTCTTTATAATTGTCCAGCTTTCACATCCATATAGAAGAACAAACAACAAGTAACACTGCAGTAACAGTAATCTAAGTTTCGTCACAAATATTTGTTTTCAATACCATGTTCTGATATATATATCCTTTGCCAGTGCTATTCTTTCATTTATCCCTGTGATCATCATGACGATGTATTTAAGGAAAAGGCTTTAACGTGCATTGAACGTACGACTCTAAACCAGCGTTCTTCATTGCAAGGCTCCCAACAATACACAAAATATGAAAACACCATCCCAGCGTGATGTCAAACCCCAACGGTTTCAAATGTGTAGCAGCTCTCACACTGAAGTCACCCCCGCCCCCCCCCCCCCGTTCTGAAAATGAGTGAAGAACATTGCCCTACATAGCTGTCTATTTATTACGGTCAGAGTGGGGAGATCGCTGTGGTATGTGGCAATGTGCTCTGTCGCCTCAGCAATGAACACTGTGACCTGAGGGACGCAACACCCATGACGGGGGAAGAGGTCCCCAAAGTGACCACGGGCCAAAGTCGGTACGACTCAAATGCTACGAGTATCCGCCACGGGCAGTATCCACCGTGTGTATAAATTTGAGTGAATGTTACACGGTACACATCTTGAGGCCAAAGATTTTTCCTCGTCCTTGGCTAACAAATCCGTGACGGTAGGGGGGGGGGGAGGTGTTCCCCTCTCCCCCACACCTCCTCCTTTGAGACCCAGAAATGCGTAATTTTATTGATATTTTCCCAATAGAAAAATGAAATAATGTTAATGAATGAATTAATGTATTGAGCCGTATTGAACAAAAAAAGAGATGAAAAACTTCAGGACACTGCATCTCCGTCCGTCCCTTCCTTGCGAAGTTTCTCGATCCGCCCGTGTGGCCGATGTTCCAGAATAATAGCGGAGTGGCAGCCGAGGGATGGAACGCGCACGTTCCCGAAAGGACGTCACCTCCCAGGAGACGGAGCGATGAAATCCGCGCGCGTTGCACCGCTGCGTCCATCGCTTGCGGGGAGGTATGTATTTCATCCAGCAGTGGATTGACCACACGGCTGATTTTGATGGTGGTGGTGGTGAACAGGTGGTGGTGGTGGCGTGATGCGGGATGAGAAGCAGCGAGGGAGCGTGGTGGCTCCGAGCAATGTTGACGTCACTCGCTTTAGCGGGGATCGGGGGGGAGGGGTATGGGGGGTTGTTAAGGGAGCGGTGGTGCCACCGTTGTGCAACGCGACCCGCACGCACGCACGCGCACGCGCGCGTCTCCCGGAGGAATCACGGAGCCGACGCCACAACCACAGTCTGGACAACCACCACTGACAGCTACAATCGCAACATCATCCATCATCAAATAATAATAAGTCCACGTGAACCAGAGACGAACAGCAGCAGCAGCAACAGAGCGAGATGGAGACGTGAACAGCATCGGACATCTCTCCCTCTCTCTGTCTCTCCCGACAACAGCGGGGCTTCAGTGCGGTGGGGACCGCGGCTCTCACCACCACATCCCGGGATACGTTATCATCAACAACAACGACGTCGTTGCTGTTGTTGTCCTTCCTGGTCGCCATCATCATCATCGTCGTCGTCGTCGCGCTGTGTTGAGCAAACGGAGGCAGCTCCAAGAGTCCCAGGACAGGTGAATACTGGACGAGGTGGATACTGGACGAGGTGAATACTGGACGAGGTGGATACTGGACGAGGTGGATACTGGACGAGGTGGATACTGGACGAGGTGGATACTGGACTAGGTGAATACTGGACGAGGTGGATACTGGACGAGGTGAATACTGGAGGAGGTGGATACTGGACGAGGTGAATACTGGACGAGGTGAATACTGGACGAGGTGGATACTGGACGAGGTGGATACTGGACGAGGTGGATACTGGACTAGGTGAATACTGGACGAGGTGAATACTGGACGAGTGAATACTGGACGAGGTGAATACTGGGCGAGGTGGATACTGGACTAGGTGAATACTGGACGAGGTGGATACTGGACTAGATGAATACTGGACGAGGTGGATACTGGACTAGATGAATACTGGACTAGGTGAATACTGGACGAGGTGGATACTGGACGAGGTGAATACTGGACGAGGTGGATATTGGACTAGGTGACTACTGGACGAGGTGGATACTGGACGAGGTGAATACTGGACGAGGTGGATACTGGACTAGATGAATACTGGACTAGGTGAATACTGGACGAGGTGGATACTGGACGAGGTGAATACTGGACGAGGTGGATACTGGACGAGATGAATACTGGACGAGGTGGATACTGGACTAGGTGAATACTGGACGAGGTGGATACTGGACGAGGTGGATACTGGACGAGGTGCATACTGAACGAGGTGGATACTGGACGAGGTGAATACTGGACGAGGAGGAGATTTGAAAGGTGACCAGAGACAATAATGACGAGGGGAATTGAAAGGTGGTGACGAGGAGAAAGAGTTGGGAGGAGAAGGTGACTGAGGAGGTGACCAGAGAAAGAATGACGAGGGGAATTGAAAGGTGGTGACCAGGGAGGAGGTGACCACGGGTGAGGAGTATGAGGAAGATGTTTTGCCAGGAAGAGGAGGAGGTAGAGGAGGTAACCATAATGTGAAAAGGGAGCCGCTTGTGGAGGTGACGGACGAGTGCCCGACGAGCAGGGGGGTATTGGGCGATTTGGGGTTGGAGGGAGGTGATGTGGAAGACGCGAGCAGGGAGGAGAATGACGAGGTGGCGATGAGGAAGGAGGTGAGAGGGGCGATGAGAGTGAGGAGGCACGAGATTGAGAGCAGAGAGGACGAAGTGTGGAGGTGAAGGTGATGCGATGGAATCACGAGAGCAAGGGAGGATTATAGATCCCACCATCCGAGTAGCTGTCGGAGTGATAAGAGTTGTGTGTGGGTGGGGGGTGTGTGTGTGAAGGACGAGTTGGGTTGAGTTCTTCAAGTTCCTTTTGTGAACTAGGGTGAGAGCTCGCGAGACCAGAGTTGAGCCTCGTCTGCAAGAGTGACGTGCTGCTCGGCTCGGCTGATGTTGGTTGTGGTGCTCAAGGTGGTTGGCGGCGGCGGTGGTGGTGGTGGAGGCCCTTTCCAGTGCCATGGGCTGCTCGCTGAGCGCCGAGGAACGAGCCGCGGCCCAGCGCTCGCGTCTCATCGACCGCGGACTCAAGGACGCGCGCCACCGCTCGGCACGGGAGGTCAAGCTGCTGCTCCTGGGTGAGAGTGCGCCGGAGCAGAGTCGCACCAAGCACGGACAGACCGATAGGGCTGTCTCAACCACAACCACGGCCAGAACGACAAGCCACAAGCACCACAGCCACGTGCACAGACGAAGCTACAGCCACAATGACAGACAGAAATACAGCTACAAACACTGGCAGAACTCCAGCCACAAGCACAGGCAGAACTAGAGCAACAACACAAAGCTACGGCCACAATCACAGACAAAACTACAGCCACAATGACGGACAGAACTCTAGCCACAATCACAGACGAAACTGCAGTCACAAGCACAGACAGCACAAACGGTCAGAACTACAAGCACAGACAGAGCTATAACCACAAACTCAAACATACATACAATGCACAATCTCAAACTACAACCATAGCAACAGCCACAATCCAGAGTTTCAAGCTTAACTACATTCAAAAGCACAACAACCACCACTACTACCACAGCTAAAACCACAGTGGAGAGCCTCCACCACAACCCCAGCCACAACCACTATCCACACCCTCAACTACAACCACAGAACAGTCACAGCCACAACTACAACCATAGTAAAAAAGCACAACCTTAACTACAACCTAGAGCCACCACCGCAGCCACAAGCACAGCCTCAACCACAACCACAGCACAGAGCCTGAACCACGACCACAGCTACAGACCACAGCCTCAACCACAACCACAGCTACAGACCACAGCCTCAACCACAACCACAGCACAGAGCCTGAACCACGACCACAGCTACAGACCACAGCCTCAACCACAACCACAGAGCACAGAGCCTGAACCACAACCACAGCTACAGACCACAGCCTCAACCACAACCACAGCACAGTGCCTGAACCACAACCACAGCTACAGACCACAGCCTCAACCACAACCACAGCTACAGACCACAGTCTCAACCACAACCACAGCACAGAGCCTGAACCACAACCACAGCCACAGACCACAGTCTCAACCACAACCACAGCACAGAGCCTGAACCATAACCACAGCACAGAGCCTGAACCACGACCACAGCCACACGACACAGAACTACCGTCACAACCACACTAGTGTATTGTGGGGTTTCTCTTTACACTCACTATACATTATCCTCCATGCATTTTTTTTTGCTCTGATTCCTATTCACATAATTGTTGTACCCTAGATTTATTATTTGTTTCTTTTGTGGTTTTTGGTGACCCATGTTACTCTCGCAAATGGCACTCATCCTGGCCTCTTTAGTTATCCCTTGGCTCAAACAAAATGAACCTGAAACTGGAACCCAAACCACAGCCCTGCATTAACGTCCGAACAACCGTGCATTGATCTTGCAACCCAACGACACAATTACACGTTAACAGTGGCCAATTGTTAAACCCAAGCACTTTTTTTTCACGATTGGGCTTTTAACCGCACGCATTTACTGTTTTAACGTGTCAAAGTCCCAGGGAGCTCCAAAGTGTGCATGTGTTACTGTCACAGTGCTTGGCTGCGATTTTTCTACAGAGGGTGCCAATTAGCAAGCTGCATTTAAATGAACAAAACGCAGGCTCTCGAGTCAATTATTCCCTTGCCACCGTGAAACCAACTCTTGTGTCGCCGGATCCCTGTGTGCCAGGTGTTGCCAAAACTCAGCGCCGCTGTGAGTCAGGGATTTTTTTTTTACCAAAATCTATGGACCCAACATCTTTCAAATGGCCGAGAGCCACGAAACGCCAAGCGGGTCACGGGGGGGGGGGGGGTCTGTAACGTGGGGGGGGGGGGGGGGACACGGACGGTACAAAATCTGCAAAAGCAGCAACAGCCCGGGGGGGCACTCGCCTCTGTTGGCGGAGCCACATCACGAGCGCTCCCGTCTGCGTTCCCGCAGATTTCTGAATTAAAATCTGCACAGCCGACCGGCTCTGGAGACGTTTCGACTCTCCGCATCTCGTCGTCAGCAGTGTCGGGGCCTGTTAAGCAAAGATGCCGCTGGTTTTGCCGTACGCGGGAGCACTGCACGAACGCCGTGGGGCCCAATGACCGTCGTGTGGGCACAATGCCCTTTGGCACAATGTCTCGTACGAGCAGCCAGCCGCTCACGCTCCAGAGTTGGGGCGCAGCGCACGAGGTGAGGGAGCGTGCGCGCGCGCCAGGGCTGGGCACAGGAGCTCTGCACGGGCACGAGACCTTGGGGAATTTAAGCCGGGGGATTCCCGTAGGCGAGTGGCGATTTATCCCCCAGAGAACGATTGCATTGCCCCGATTCTGTGGCCCTTAATTGATTCCATAAGCAATTACTCTTTTTGTCCTCTGGCCAGGTGGCTTTTTTGACAAGGCGGTGAATGTGTTATTTGTGTACGTGAAGGATACCGTCAGTTAGGATCACAGGGGTTAATTGATAGGTCAAGGGCAATTTGTTCTCAACCAAAAAGCGATGAATGCATGAATTTAGCTTTGCCGAACAGCATGCCCGTTTTCTGTTATCTGTGTTGCATGCAAATGTTATGGTAATCGCCTGTTAATGTAATGTTAATGCGCCAACCGACAAGGCACAGGGAGAAGAGCATTGTGAATGAAAACAGAATGAGACGGGGAAAATTGGGGTGCGTATGAATGAAAGTTTAAACAGTACAGAACACAGACCAGACAGGACTGATGGGGAGACGGGACAAAACTATAAAGCTAAACTATTTTTTTTATTTTACCAGGTAAGGCTCACTGAGCTATATAGCTCTTTTTCAGAAACGACCTGGCCACAAATGATAGCCGAATGAAGTGGCTCATGATGTGGACATTTTTATAGCAGCCAAATACCCTGAACGCATGTTTCCAAATGTGGAGGGGAACAACCAGAAGACCTGGAGAAAAATCCACGTGACCACGGGGAGAGAGACACGCAAACTCCAAATTTACAGCAGACGTCAGGGTTGGGATCGAACCCCACGACCTCCTGCATACCAGGCGAGGTAGTTAACATCTCGCCACTGCGGCGTCCCCAAGAACGTGTTAGGAATGTGGCGGTGCATAGGAGACAGCACAGGAGACGGCAATAAAAGAGAGACAAAAATACAGCAATGAGAATGAAATTGGACACAAAAAAAATACATTTTAAATTAAAGGCGGAGCCCCGCCATGACTTGCTGGCGGGGTTGCTGACAGAAGCGCGGCCACCGGAGGTTGTTTTAGCGTCCCTGTTGCACGCGGACTCGACGTCTAGGAATAGGTAGGAGTACCCACACTTTACCTCGCCACCACACGCGCATGGCCTGCCCATCGACGTAACTGCGCGGCAACCAATTCATGCCGCTCGGTGGACTGAGGCGGTGGGACGGGTTTAAGAAACTTGCACCGTTGTTTTAACTGCCCGCGCCGGGAGGTCCTGGAAAGAACATTCTGCTTTGATAAAATGAACGCACTCCCATCGATTATTGTTGGGGGAGGGGGGAAAACACTTTTATGCAGGAATAAAATATCCACTGTTTAGGGACGTGATACATCGAATCGCCCTGTGCCCAAATCACCCTCAGTAATGCGCATTATCTCGTCAAATCTCAGAAGCTAAGCTGGGAAAATTGCCTGGCGGGAGTTGGTTGGGCAACTGCCGTGCACAAACAGGCTGTCACGGGGCTGTGAAAATGTATGGTGGGCAGCAGCAGAGTGCAGTGCAACAAAATGGGCTCTCGCGCTCCACTCCTACGCTTCCGCGACTGTGCTCCGCGCCTTTATCAACCGCGCCTTCACCGGCTCGTTGAAGTTACGCTCAAGTGACCTTCGTGACCCGCAGCAGGTTTTTCCGGCGAGGCCCTCACCTGGCAGTGAATTGAGTAAAGGAGCCCCCCCCCCATGTGCTTGATTGGGGATGGCAACTCGCAGCTTTGCGTCTCCGCGCTGGAGTCGCACGAGTCGCAGGATCACCCCAGTGGCCCACCGCGGTCGGACGATAAATATTGTGATGATGATTCAAACGACATCCTGTTTAAGTATGGGTAGGAATGGATCAGGTTGCGTGATTTAGAAACCGCGTGGAAGAGATTTGTGCGGGTGGAGGTGAAAGCTGGGCTTGATGGAGGAAAGAATAAGAGTTGTTTAATTATGCAGTGTTAGGCGTGTTGGAATTTAATGGAATTTGATATACGGGGGGCATGTGAGGACGTTGAGGTTGAAACGTAGGTATATTGAGGTTAAAGTGAACAATGCCAAATCAAATCAACTTGACGTATGATAAGAATACAGCGCCGCTGCAAATCACAACAACAACATTGAGATCAAGCATTGCACAGTACACAGTAGCGTTTTGGCTCAGTTGGTGGAGATGCGGGGTTCTTTATTGTAAGAGAAATGAGTTTAAATCCTGGCCATAGCCGATTCATTACCTATCTTTTCATCGTCATCATCATTGTCAACCATGAACAATGATGTATGTCTTGACTTAAAGCTTTCGTGACTGCAGGAATTCATATTGTTTGGGTCTTTCGGTAAAGTCACGTAGATAGGTTCAAAGAAAATAACAAAAACTACGACGTTTCGATCCCAATTTTAAGCGGTCGTCATCCCTCTTCCTGATGACGACCGCTTGTGTTGCGATCGAAACATTGTAGTTTTTGGTTATTTTCTTTGAACCCATCTACGTGCCTTTACAAGAAAGACCCAAAGAATAGAAAAAATATTTATGCATGTTGAACTTTTTTCGCACCGTAGGTAGCCAACCGTGCTAATCGGATGTATGGGGGAAGGACGACAAACTAAACACAAAAAAGCAGTTCTCCAGAAATTAGTTTTAAATCCTGATTTAAAAGTGCATAGCTCCAGTGGCATCCTAATATCAGAAGGAAGAGCGTTCCAGACGGCCGCAGAAGCACATCTGAAAGCGCGCGATGCGGTGACCGTCTTTGTTCAATGGCTTAGCCAAAATCCGTTACGAGGATAACCGGAGTTCGCGTGATGGTTTATGTTCCTTGACCAGATCAGCGAGGTATTGTGATTCAACTGTGGCAAGCACTTTGTGTGTAATGAGCTCCTC